GCTTCGTAAAAGTAAATCACTACTAACCAATAACAGTCAACGATTTTCCGAGTGAGAAATGTGAGCTGAAGGTCAACTGGGTGTCTTCAGCGCAAAAACGAAAAATTCAAAATTTTAGAAATAAATTACAAAACTCGGTCCTTTTTCGAGTGAGTTCTTGTAATCTAACATCCCTAACACTATCATTTCCAGATTCTCCATAAATAATAGAAATGAATATGCTGTGGAAATCCTTAGCCGTCAAGAATTACATGAACCACGATAATAAACGGAACTAGATCAAAGTAGCTTACGGAAATTTAGAATTTTCACCAGATGATTGTCTCATATATGAGCTACGATCCTATTCAATTAGATTCGGAAACTTTGTAGTGAGTGAATCTGTTTCCATTTATTTAAACCTGTCTAACTTAAAGACAGTACGGTTTTAAACTGTTAAAGACTAAAACTTCACTAGCATAATTCCACCACTTAACCGATCACACCTGATGTGCTTTAACCTATTCTTCTTATCTCCTGGACCTAATTCTCACTCTTAATATAATTACCACCCAAATTACGTACATTATGAAAATGGCTTAAAAACCAGGCGCACCTTATATTCAAGCTCAGTGTTGGTATGGTCAACCAGCTAAAAGCTCTGGTCCATCTTAATTTATGTAACATAGACATAAAGACAACTAAATCCATAGTCCATACAAAAAACTAGAGCATCAATTAAATGTATCGTGTTAAGCAATGTCGATTCTCTTCTAGGAGTCGGACGGTCAATTATCTCAATCACTTAGCCGTGATTAGGAATAAGGAAGAATTGACATCGAAATTCATACAAAGATTGAAGCACTCCATGATAAATAAAACAGAGGAGTAAGCGCATTCGTGCTTGGCACCATCAATGCAAAAGGACTATACACAACAATCTTTAATAATTGTTTCTATTGAGGTCAACAAGGTGTGGTGTTTGAATGAACTAGTGACTTCTCGGTTGTTGTTGAATGCTTGATTTCGAATTCTAAATACAGTACATTCGTTCGTGCTTATCTAGTAGTTCTTGATCCACTTACGTATTTCTGGGATTATTAGTTTTTCCTAAAATTCAAATACTTCTAATTATCACATTGGCGTCGCGATGGAGCTTGTGATGGAACAGTTAGATATTCATTCTACTTCTGAAGCTTTTGAGGATTATTTGGAAAGGTTTGAAATCTGGAGCACGACCAAGAAAGATGTTAAAGATGATAAGATTGTGGCACATTTCCTGACATTCATCGGAAAAGAAGCGTACAGCTTATTAAAAACCTTGGCATATCCAGAAAAAACTATTTCACTTCCCTATGCAACGTTTAAGGAGTTATTATTAAATCATGTAATGTGCACTAGTTTTAAATGCCGTGATATTTCATAAGATGATTCGTCAAAATGACCAAAAGGTTAAGGAATTCATTCTTCAATCGCAGAAACAAGCTGTCAAATGTAATTTCGGTGATCAACTTCATGTGCAACTGTGAGACCGATTAACCGCAGGAATTAACATGCCGGGTTTGGAAAGAGAGCTGTTAAGAATGTCACACTGTTCCTTTCAAGATGTTAGAACTGCGCTTATCAACTACGAGGCGTGGAATGAACTTGATACGCAGTCGATGAAGATTTCCAATACTTTGATTAGTTGTCATGATGAAATACAATCTCAGGGTCAATCAAAATTGTGTTCGTTTAACAGCGGTTCCTATTCTCGTGTAAATATGAACGGTGTCTTAATAAAGAATTACAAAAGAAATCACAAAGGTGAGACTAAGTTTGGCAAATGTTTATCATGTGGAAAACTTCATTCTCGTCATTCTTGTACATTTCGTAATGCTAAATGTTTTAGATGTGGTAAGATAGGACACATTCAAGCAGTATGCAAAGCTATCGTTCATTTTGCCTCAAGTAGTACTAAATCTTGTAATTTAGATCCCAATAATTCAGCTGATCCTAATGATCATTTATCTTTGTCTACCATTTCGAAAGGTAATGCTCATATTCAAAAGCGACTATATACATCACTTGGTTCATGTCATAACTTTATTGTGGACACAGGCAGTATCTAGTCCATTATTTCATTCAAGAACTTGAAATCGTTAGATCCTAACGTTGTGGTACGACCCACTGAAGTATCATTATTGGGATTACTGGACACAGACTGCCTAAATGAGGATGTTGTGAATTGCTAATAAGAGATGATAATTCCTCATATATACCTTGTGGATTTTTAGTTAGCGAAACAGGACTGTCAATACTGGGTTTAAGGAATTTGAAAAGGCTTAAAGTGGAGTTGTCTTTCCTAGTTTCTAAAAAAAGTTCTGATGCTTTACTTAAAGATTTGATAGCCACGTGTGCTAAGTGCAGTGAAGGTATGAAAATTCAGCCTATAAAACTTCAAGTACATGGTGATCCAGTTTTTCTCAAAAGACGATTAATTCCTAATGGTATTCGAGATGCAGTGCATAAGACATTGAATGATTTGTGTGCAAAAGGCATAATTGAACCGGTTCAGTCTTCTGCATGGGTTACTCCTATTGTTACGCCACTGAAATCGGATGGAAAGACTCCTAGAATATGTGGTGACTATAGACTAACATTGAACTCCCGTTTGTTGAAGCAAACATGCACGACGGTAGAGGCCGAAGATATTCGAAATCAACTTCATGGTTCTAAAGTGTTCTCGAAAGTTGACCTAAAAGACGCTTATCTTCAAATCCCTTTAGACCAATCCTCATCTATTTGGACGACAATTAACACTCCTTTTGGTCTGTTTAAATACAATTTCCTTCCATTTGGGCTAAGTTGTTCTCCAGCCATATTCCAGGAAGTTATGAATAAGGTGGTTAGTGATCTTGAAGGTGTTGAAGTTTATCAAG